GTCTAATAGGAGCATCTATAACTAAAATAAAAATGTATGGTCTTAAAGCCGATCCGTGATGTAATCTAACAAAAATAGAAAAATATTTGGTCCTAGTTGATAAAACCTAAAACCTTAACCCTAAACACATTTTTCAAAAATATTTGAAAATAAAAAAGTAAATAAATGGGAGTTGCCTTCCTCGATAGTTTCAGATAAACGAGGAGCGAAAGGAGGAGAATAATGGGAGTTTTCAGTCACTATAAGTTGTGATCCTGTCGTCGCACACCCAGCTAGCTCCTACAAATTATATCGTGAGGGTTCCACGATGAAGGCGATGGTTTTGAATGAAACTGAGAGGTGTGGAGGGACATGCGAGGGTTTTAGAGAGAGGAAAGGACTTCAGGGAGAGAGGAGAGGTCTTCGGCTAAAGAGGAGGGAGGGGAGTGGGGATTATGGCATGAGAGGAAGGGCAGCGATTTTGACGATATAATGAATTATTTCTGATGACTTATACGTAGCTTAAAAACCGTCAATTATTAATACTTTTACCGACAACCATTTCCTTCACTTATTATAGAAATTCGTCGGCAATACCCCACCAGATGGTGGTTCGAAGATAACTGATGACGCATGTTCATCGGCTAATATACATTTATAACTGACGGCTTATGGAATCAGTAATAAAAAAACTGTCAAAAAATAATTTTATTCATAGGAGACATAAATTCTATAGTTATGTCATCGTACATGAACCAAACATAAATTGTAGCTAAAGTATCAGTAATTTAAATTATAACCAACAGATAACACAACTGCTTAAAAAAGAACGTCTGTTAGCACCTCGCCAAATGGTGAGTTTATGGATAACCGATGAAATATGTCTGTTAGTTAATACTTTCTTTTAATAGACGACATAAGGCGTCAGAGATGATTAAAGCCGTCGAGAAAAATTTTCCTGTTAATACGCAACAACATTTCATGCAGTTAAGCGTCACAAATAACTTAGAACATAAACCATTGTTACACCGTCGGAGAATGAAACGTTTTTTGTGACACTAACGTAGTTCATCGGTTTTAGTTTTTTTTTTCTGTTATGAAAATCATGCATAATTAATAAAACTTTGATGTTATTCTCTATTAGGTTTTTTCTACCACCATCAATGATTAGGTTTATGCATGTTTCTATTAGGTTTTTTCTACCACCCTCAATGGTCAGGTTCATGCATGGTTCCACTTACTCCTATGCAAAAAAATTTCATATCCTAATTGAACTTGATAATCTCTTTATTGGCCAAATTATAATCCTAACAATTCATCAGAATTTATCAAAATATTAATAAAAAATATCTTAAATAATGCTGTAGAGATTCTTCTTGGAATCACACAAAATCCTAAGCATATAAGTTGAGTTATTGAATAGGATTTCTTTTTGCAATCATCGCCAGCTCTTTTCTAAGAAGCATAGCTTGAGGTTTAAGACACATGGTCTTAGCACCAAGTAAGTGGAAAAAAACTCCAAGAATTTTTTGTTTTGTTTGAAGTACTTAGTTAAAATATTAAAGCAAAGTTTCTTTTATGGATTAATTTATTCAATTTTGTTGTTTATTCCATGTTGTTAGTTTGTCTTCTCTTCTCTATCTATTGGTTTTGGTTATGAGATCCTTTCTTAGCTTAGCCTCTTAATTTAAAGTATTTAATCTCATTTACTTTCTAGCTCTTATCATGCTGGAGGATTTAGATTGCAATTTTAATACTTTTAATGGATACATATTTTCCTTTTAAACTTGCTTATGGTTTCAATTTACTTTATTATATTTACCTGGCAATGATGATTATTTCATTAGAGGTTTAATGCCTACTTCTACTTCATATGCTTCAGAATCTCTCTCCTTTAAGTATTTATCATACCATTTTATTGGTGCCATGATAGATGGCATTTATACTTTAAAATTAAGCTAATTGTTTTATTAAGATACATCCAAATTCATGTTATAATTTGATCAATTTTGTAGTTTTTTTTCTTTTACTTATAATTTTTTTCTTTTAATTGGTGGTTTGATGTAATTGATATTCACTTTATTTACAAAAAATTACTAAACTTTTCAAAACAGAAGTCTTAATTAACTAATTAAATTTGAAGCCAAAAAGAAAATTAATAAAAGAAAAGAAGAGGAAATGACTTTATAATCCATCTCATACAAAAATATTGGTATAGGAGTTATATTGATTCATTAACATTAATAAGGTGTCTAAAATGCTAATTTACGCCTCATGAAATTTTTGTTCTTTTTTTTTTCCTCAAAAGTTCCTTTGACTTTAATAAACATTAAAAATTTTACGTATCTATTTATATAATAATATTTTTTAATAAGCCTTACATATAAACATTTAAATGAAATTTCAGGAATTTGAGAAACTTAAAAAGATAATATTTTTTACATTAAAAATATTTAAAACATTCAAATTTTGATTTTTCTAATTCCTATGTAAAATCATCACTTAAAAAATTTTAGCCAATTATGAAAGTACATTTTTTTCTAATTTTAAATGGAACATTATCGAAGTAACTAGCTAGGAGATTATAATATGCTAGAAATTTTTGTTGAAGAGCACTAGTGTCTCACATAACAAACATATGATAAGTTAGAATATTGTGTCTGGTGGTAGTCATGTGAGACTCATCAATTTTTGGCATTTATAGTGTTTACCTATTAGTACAAAATGGTGTCACGCATTGCCATCATGATTTTAAATGAAACCATATTGTGGCAAGCATGAATGAAACCATAGCAGGGGCACTAATGTCCTACAATCTCATGACCCAACTAAAAAAAATACCACACTTTGGAATATTTTTTTCTTCATACACAAAACCCCTGACTAGTTGACAACCACATAACCAAAATCCCTATGATCATGATATGGATCATCTGATCCCTATGATGACACTAATTTTTAGAAGATCATCATGCATAATTAATGATCCTTTGATGTTTATCTCTATTAGGTCTTTCTATCAACATAAATGGTTAGGTTCGTTCAAGATATTAATTCTAAGAAAAGAATTTGCATCTTTTGTTTAACAACTTAGTCTATTTGTTCAGCAAATTATTTAAAATGTAAAGCTTGTCAAGCACTCTTACTATTTCTTTAGAATCCACAAAATATCAATAAAGATTCTCTTGAATAATACCTTAGAGATTCATAGGAAAAACATATATAAACTAAAGGGTGGACTCTGAGTTGTTGAATGAGGTTGCTCTATATGATATTTCTCCTACTTCTTTTTAAGAAGCGTGGACTTGGCTCCATGTTAGCAAGAAAAATTCCAAGTCCGATTATTTTGTTTAAAGTATTTAGTTAAGACTTTAAAGAAAAGTTTATCATTGGATTCCTTAATCACTTTTGTGGCTTTTATGCTAATTGTTTGGTTCTATTCTCGTGTCATTGCTATTAGTTTTCTTCTATTCTCATTTTCTTAAAGCATAGAGCCAAAAAAAAAAAAGTGATCATAACATCAAACTAATACAAAAAATGATTATACAAGGATTTATTTGGATTTATTATTTTTATAAGGGTCTAAAAAGCTAGTTTATAACTCTTAAATTTATCAAGTTTATCTTCATTTCAAATTAAAAAATTATTTTGGTTTTAAATAATTTTCAATTTTTATAAGTATTTATTTAAATAGTATTTTTTTCTTTAAAATAATCCTTTCACATAATCATTTAAATAAAATCATTCAAATCACTTTTTATCAATAAGCAAAAAAAAAAAAACCAACTTTGATCTAAAATTGGCATGAAATTGTTAAGAAAAATTTTTAACTTTGAGTTAATCATTATTAAGGTGGAATTAATCCCACACTCCTTTAAAATATCTGTCCTCTCACCATTCACAGTCCTCAAAAAAAATTTAAGGGCTAACATTACACTTATAATGATTTGAAGTCCAAAACAATTATCACATATTTAATACTTTTATCAATTTATAACTTATTAGAAGACAGTTGAAAATTGTTCCTTAATTTACTTTTTTTACTTTTTTAGTTGGATTCTTTTATAATTTCTCATTTAAATCTAATCTTTTGACTTATGATTATGAAAAATCATCAATATATGTCCCCTTTTAGATAATATATGATGGCAATTCTAGGATAATAATAGAAACAAGAAGTCATCATGTGCTCCTCTCCTATATGGCTCTTGATGATTAGCCATCATGTTACACTTTGCCCCATCTTCACCAAATTTCTTCCAATCATAATTTCTTCAATAAATAATCCAATAACTAATCAGCACCTAAAATATTATTTATATATATAATGCCTCGAAATTAATGGTTTTTTTAGTCCCACATGTTGGCGATACTGCGTTTTTAGTTAATAAATATGACACCTCAAATAATTTGCAGTGGGGCCCATCTTACGTGCAGGCTTTTAATTGTTGCTAAAGTGGGGCCTAGCTGGGAAGCACTAATGGCAGGAGTGGGGCCCGCGATTGTCAGCTAAAACCGAGTGAAGAAAGCCGGCGATGTACGGTTTTCTGCAGGAACAGGAAAGCCGCTGGGGATTCGGGAGGCCGAGCTGGCGTCCCCTCATTGGTTCTCATTTTAGTGTATATCACTGGAAACTCCCACGTACGCCGCAGTAGACACCAGCTGCTTCCTCTACCAACTCCCCCCCCCCCCCCCCACCCTATGAATAATATTTTTTGTGTTTTTATTTTATTGATAAATGTAATTTAAATTTTCTCATTTATTAGTTCTTGCAATTTTCCAAGTCTTCAAGATTTTTATGAAAAAGTTTCTCCATTAATATTTTTTATTTTTTTAATAAGCGAAAAACTAGCATTATTTTTTCTAGTGAGCTAAATCATCAAATATCTAATTTTCTTAAACTATAGATAAAATTATTAAATTACCTAAACTATATAAAAATATATTAAATTTTATTATGACTTAAAAAAAAAATCATAAATCACAAATATCACCATTCCGTCCTTTTTAAAATTTATGTCATGCAATAAATTTATGTAATATTTAAATATTTGGTAATACGTACAGCAGACAATAACGCGGGTCGCGTACCGACTACCGATACCATCCTCCTACTCTCCCATATAAATACTTCTCATCAAAACTTCAACTTTTTATTCTTCAAATTTAGAACTGAACTGAACTCACTAAACGTTCAGTAAAAACAAGCCGATTCATTCCATACATCATTCCATCGATCCATAGAACACAGCAGCATAAATTAAACTGATATGTCAATCTTCAATCTCAACCTAATCAAAGTACCAGAGATTCTCCCCTTCCGAAGCCTCCGGCGACTCGTCGGAGCCGAGCGGGCTGAGACGAGGGGGGCTCAGCAGCATCCCCTCCGCCATATTAACCAGCAATTGGGGCATGTCGAATATCTCCTCCTCGTCGATAAAAGCGGGATCATTCATCGACGGCTGGGAGGACTCCGCGGCCATCTGCGCGGCGGCGGCTGCGGCGGCCGCGCGTATATCGGAAGGGTTGGTGGAAGCGGGGACGGGATTGGTGGGGGCATTAGCGGGGAAATTAAGGACGGCGTCGGGTCCACGGAGGGCTAATGCGGCGACGTCATAAGCGGCGGCGGGCATCTCGGGGG